GTGGCATCACTTCACCCGCCACCCTGAACAGGGGGACGTAAGACCTGGGTACAGGGGACTCGGAAATCCCCGACGAAGTCGTCAAAAAAATGACGAGGCCGAGCCTGCATTTTGACGAGGCCTCCCGCTGCAGACATCCCACGAAACTCCTCCTCGTCAAAATCCGGGGCGCGGTCGTCGAGAAACGATGGCGAACCCGAGTCCTGGCAAACCCGGGTCTTACGCTCCCCCGACCCGAGGCGATGTCTTGTCCCCCCGGGGGAGGCCAGCTCGGCGTGCGCCGCGAAGGAGGGCGTGCGGCACGACGGGGGCCCGCCTCCCGCGGAGGCGGAGGTGCCGTGGGAAGCCGCCGGGCCCGGCCAACAGTCGAGCAGGCCATCGACGGAAGAATGGACCCGTCCCAGACCTGATCGCTTCGTCGAATCTACGAAGAGTGCGCGTATGGTTCAGACGCAGTCTACGAAAGCGAAGCGACATCTATCTATCTATCTATATATCTATATATCTATCTATCTATCTATATATCAATATATCTATCTATCTATCTATCTATCTATCTATCTATCTATCTATCGATCTATCTATATGTATATATGTGGATTCGACGAGGAAATCCATGCTAGGGGAACCCAACTTTGCAGTCGATCCCCTGCTGGAGAGGAGGCCCCTGCCTTGCAAGAAAAGCCCCTCCGCCTTCTCAGACGGCCGCCCCCCTCGCGCCGCACGCTCTTCGCGGCGCCGTCGGCCCACCCACGCCCTGGCGAAGCCCCCCCCCCTGACTACCTACCAGACCACCCCAACCCAACCCGAAGACCCGAATTTCGGGTTGGGGGGGTACGGGCTTCATATGTGTTTTTCCGATATTTCCCGACGCCCCCCCACTGGAAATGGAGGGCAAATCGTGGCCTTCGGGTTGGGTTGGGGTGGTTTGGTGGGCGGTGACCCCCCCCCTCCCCCTCCCCCCGAAAATGCCTTTGGTGCCCCCGGAGCTCCCAGCTCTGCCGGGCGTGGCGGCGGCGCGGGCGGGGGCACTCGCCCCCTGGACACGCGAAGTCGTGATTTTCTCATTGTGTCTCGGGTCGGGCGAAAGGGGGGGATAGCAAAGGGAGGGTTTGAGAATCAGCTCACGCAGCTGATGTTCCCTGGCGCCTCCCGGCGCCGGGAGGCGGCCATGTATCAAGGAATGGGCCCCTCGGTGGGGCCGAAACCAGCTGTATGCAGCAGATCTCGTAACCCCCCCTTTCCCTATCTTGAGCAGGGACCGACCGTCCGGGCATTCCTATAGTCCTACCACGAAATGTCCTTAGGACCCAAAAATGTTCTAAGAACAAAAACATCGCCCTTAGAACACTAACCCGATGTGTTCAACCAAGACTGTCCCGACCAGAAATGTTCTAAGAACTGTCCTTGGAAACCACAACAACAAAAAAAACGTTCTTCGAACATTGCTCGGTGGGGCTACAGGCGAGCCAGGATGCTTCGCCACTGCTTGACCATCCCCTCCTTTTTGTCTGGCCCGAGCGTCGTCTGCGAGGCCCCGACCCCCCTCCCCCAGGGCCAGCCTCCCGCCCCGAGGCCCGGCGAGGAGGAGGAGGAGGAGGAGGAGGAGCCAGGACGCTTCGCCGCCACTGCTTGACTCTATCCCCCCCTTCCGTCTGGCCCGAGCGTCGTCTGCGAGGCCCCGACCCCCCTCGGGATAAATCGCTCCAGAGCGTTCCGGAGCGCTCTCAGAGCGTTCCGGAACGCTCTGGAGCGGCCGCGGCGCCCAATACATCCTCCAAACCCGCCGATTCTCAGAGATTTCGAGTTCTCCCGGTCCGAGTTTGTCCCGATCTTCGCGTCGTTTTACCTCCCCCAGGGCCGGCTTCCCGCCCCGAGGCCCGGCGAGGGGCCCCCGAGGCCGGCCTTATGCCAGCCTGGAACACATATCTCCCTACCCCTGTGCCGGGCACCTCCTCGTCACGATGCCAATCTTGGGGATCCCCTTATTTCTTTTGAGGGCGGAGCCCTAAGATTGTCGTCGCCTTTGGGCGTGTCAATCTTAGGGATAGGGACACGTTCGAGGCTGGTGGACACTCGCTCTCGTCGGCGGCGGCGCCGAGGTGCACGCCCCGCGCCAGCGGGCGAGCAGCTCGGGGCGGCCGCAGGGCGAGCTGCCCGGCAGGCAGGCAGAGGGCCCGAGGCAGAGCGGGCGGCCGCGGAGGCGGCGGAGGAGGAGGAAGGAGGAGGAGGCGGGGGAGGAGGAGCAGGAGGAGGAGGAGGAGGAGGAGGCAGAGGAGGAGGAGGAGGAGGAGGAGGAGGAAGAGGAGGAGGAGGAGGCAGAGGAGGAGGAGGAGGAGGAGGAGGAGGAGGCAGAGGAGGACGAGGAGGAGGAGGAGGAGGAGGAGGACGACGACGACGACGACGAGGGGGGATGCTGGAATCGGCACTTCGGGGGGAGAGCTCGCCGATCTCAGACCCACGTGGGAGGGAGAGCCATGGAGCGGCCGCGGAGGCGGGGGAGGAGGTTTGGGGCACTCGGAGGCGGAAGACCTTCCGTCGCGAGCGCGCTGGCGCGGCAAGCACGGGCAGCGTGGACTGTGGCAGCGGCCGGGCCGCGGCGTCGGTGCCTCCACAGGCGCCGCCGATGCCCACGCGGAGAACGAAGCAAGGGCAGGCACAGCCGAAGCGTCCAGATGCGGGCCGACTCACGCAGCAAAGCACACGCCGTCCTGGTGTTTCAAGACGCGAGCAGGTCTGGGCCCTCCTCTGGCTGGGCCAACGCCGGGCCAGGCGGCCCAGGCGATGGCCCGACGCCAGGATCGGTGCTGGTACGCAGTTGGCGCTCACCCAAGCGGGAGCAGCGTTCACGCTATCGCAATCATCATCAGCAGCATCAGCATGAGCAGCATCACCATCATCACCATCATCATCATAATCATCATCTTCTTCATCTGCATCATCATCATCATCATCATCATCATCATCATCATCATCATCATCATCATCATCATCATCATCATCATCATCATTATCATCATCGTCATCGTCATCGTTATCATCATCCTGATCATCATCATCCTCATCCTCCTCATCATCATCATCATCATCATCATCATTATAATCGTCCTCATCACCACCACCACACCGACCATCAGTACAATCATCACCATCATTAACATCATCATCAGCAGCATTGTTCTCATCATCAGCACCCCCTATCAGCATCATTATCATCATCATCGTCGTTTTCGTCATCCTCATCGCCATCGTCATCGGCATAGTCATCGGCATCTCTTCTCCGGAGCGTCACCATGCCCTTACATGGTCAGATTCCTGCTACCCCCTCCCTTGTAATCCTGGACATCCTTCTCATCCGTCCTCTGTCTTCGCATCCAACCTTTCATTCATACACCTCCTCATTGTCCTTCATGTTATCTCTTCCACCTCCACGCTCTCCTCTCTCCTCATCGTCCCCTTCTTCCGGTAGACGCTCTGTGACATTGCCCAGATGTATCGTCGGCACCATCCCCCTCCAACTGTTCCATCTCACACTGTGTTCTCCGTATTAATGTCATGTTTCACTCCCTAGCAGCATCGGCAGCATCAACAACGGTAGCAACACCATCACCAAGAAAAGCTGATCGCTATCTCCAGGTGGCAAGCTACTAAACACGTATACCCCAAAGCCTCGATGCCAGCCCTCTTTGCATTCGACCGTACCATTCGGGGAATTCTTCTCTACCTGCCGGGGTGTAATTGGTGCGGCCCCAAAAAACCTGGGAAGAGGAGGGAGAGGTATAAGGATGGCACACGAGGGAGATTAGCAGGACACGGAGCTAGGAGCAAATACTCGCAGCAAATCCAGACGGGCTGATCAGGCGGGTACGCCCCAACGGAAGGGTCGGGAAGGCGGGCCCAGGCGGCCAGGTCGAGCAGGCGGGCTGCTGAAGCATAGGTCATGCACGAATCGCGGGGGAATTCTAGGGGTAGCGAGATTCCCAAGTGAACAATGAGAAAAGCCATGGCGAGAGCTCGATTCCTGAGCGTCGAGGGCGCGGCGTTTGAACAAATTACAACGGAGTCCCACGCGAGAGCGCGATTCCTGCTTACATTGTCAGCAAGTCCTGTGGGAAAACACGGTTTCTCAATCAATTGCGAGGAAGTCTGCGGCGGGAGCCGCTGCTGTTGCAAACTGGGTGCCAACCACACACCACGCTTCCCTGATAAAAAGGAGGCGCGAGCGCCGGGAGGAGCGTTCTATTGAAAACCACAATGGTTACCTAAGGGGTGATCAACCATACTTTGTCTTCAGGGGTGGGAATCCAACAGCCTCATTTGGGGGTAGATCTCCCCTACCTGCCGCGTATATCTGGCGCAGCCCCTAAAACAAAGTAAGGAAGGGAGAAGGGAGAAGGCAATGGGGGAGGGAGAAGAATGGAGCACGAGAGAGACTCGTCGGATAAGGGTTCGGAGAAGGAGTACAAGCGGCAGAGCCAGACGGGCGGGTCGGGCGGGCGGACCCTAACGGGCAGGTCGGGCGGGCGGGCCCAGACTGCCGTGTAGAGCGGTCGGGTCACAGAAGCGTCAATTCAACACGAATCGCAAGGACGTTCCAAGCGGTGGCGCGATCCCCAGGTGAATCGTGAGGAGACCCGAGGCAGGAGCGCGACTCCGCAGTCTCGGGGGGCACGGCGCCGCAGCGAATGGCGAGGAGGGGCCACGCGAGAGCGCGACCCCTGCACACCTTCCGAGGACGTCCCGCACGAGAGGAACAACAACACACAAAAAAACATACTTTTTGGGGAAAACAACACACTGTGGGGAAAAAACACAATGGGGAAAACACACACACACTGTGGGGACAAAACACACAACTGTGTGTGTTTTCCCCACAGACTCAGTGTGTGTTTTTCCCCGCAGTGTGTGTTTTTTGCGTGTGTGTGTGTGTTTCCCCACAGTGTGCTTTTGCTCCCCCACAGTGTGTGTTCTCCCCCAGCGAGTCGGACAGACATCTTGAGGAGGAGCACTCCGGCGGTTGCCGCTGCTGCTGTAAACCAGGGGGGGGGGGAAGGGCAGGGGCGCAGCCTCGAGGGCCAGGGCTTCTCCCGGCAGAGAGAAGGGGGTGCCGGGCCCCAGGAGGGGCACGGTCATTGAAAAGCAGTGTAGGCCAGAAGGGGCCTCCACAGAAATCGTTCCTGGGGAAAGGAGAGCTCCAGCACGACACCTACGTCGTCATCATGGTCATCGTCTTCGCCACTATCGTCATCGCCATAGTCATCCGCATCGTCACCGGCATCACCATCATCACCCGCATCGCCATCATCATCATCATCATCATCATCATCATCATCATCATCATCATCATCATCATCATCATCATGCCGTTCCACTCCTCCTCATCATCATCATCATCATCAGCAGCAGCAGCAGCCATCGTCATCATCATCATCATCATCATCATCCTCATCAGCAGCACCATCACCATTGCCATCATAACATCATCGACATCATCGTCATCATCGTCAACAGCATCGCCATCATCATCATCGTCGTCGTCATCACCATCACCACTATCATCACCCCCACCATCGTGTTGGCCATCAACACGACTACCATCAGCAACAAAAGCATCACCATCATCATCACCACCATGACCATCGAAAGCATCATCATCGATACCATCATCATGATTATCCTCTTCATCATTCTCCTCCATCTCATCCATATCCTCCATCATTCCCATCTCCTCCTCTCCTCCTTCTCCAGCTCTTCCTGCCCTTCGCCGAAGAGTGTCTTCGCCGTCCTGCTCGATTTCCTCCAAGGTGGGGTCGTGGTCGCAGCCGAACACCAGGTTGTCGCGGATGGTCAGGGGTAGCAGCTTCGGCTCCTAGGGCCGAGGGAACGTGGAGGCGGAGGGAACTGCGAGGAGGAAATTTAGAGGAAGAACCGTACGGCGGGTTCCCGTCGTGACGACGTCGGCGTTGGATTCTGACCTCGCGTGGCGTTCCGACAGCAAGGATCGGTCAGTCCCTGCCGATTCTGGGGCCCTGGCTGCGTTCAACCTCGAATGCCCCCGCTGGGGTCGCCGCCAAGTCGACACGACACATACCTGCCGTATACGTCCAAGGCCTTGGGCAAGCGATATCCCAGGGGCCCAAGGAGGCTCCGATGCCATGAGCACTCACGGGATGCGACAGCCTCAGGGCGCGAAGGTGTCCGTATCTGCTGTCCGGCTGTGAAAGGGAGAGGCGCGACTGGTTCGGTTACCCCCATATTCCACCATCCTCCACCATCCTCCTCCTCCACCACCACCAGGGCCCCAAGACCTTCCAGAAGAGCCCCACGAGGACCCCAATATCCACAGAAAAGTCCCAAGAGGGCTCCAAGAGGCGATTTCGACGGCTCTGGCGCTCTGGCCTCGTCCTCGTTGTCCTCCTCCTCCTCCTCCTCCTGCTCCTCCTCCTCCTCCTCCTCCTCCTTCTCCTATCCCCCCCCCCCCGCCGACCCTTCTCCTCCAACCCTCCACCCTCCTCCCTCCAGATCCTCCTGCTCCTCACCCTCCCCCAATCCATCCCCCTACCCTGGGCCTGCCGCAGGCCTTCTTAGCCCTGCCCTGGGCTCGCCGAAGGCCCTTCCCAGGCCTGCCTAGACCTTCACGGGCTTCCCCTGGGACTACCTACGCCTTCCTATAGGCCTTCCCTACACCTGCCTGGGCCTTCCAACGCTTCCCTGGGCGTACCTTAGGCTACTCTAGGGCCTGGTGCAGGGGCGACCCCACTCCTGGTAATCGTACCTCCCCCCTCGATCATGCTCCTCTTCGCAAGCTGCCTCGCTCCGTCGAAACGGCGCAAGGCCGACCCAGGCCGCCGAGACCCATGGGCTGCGAGGACGACGTCGTGGACGATATCGTCGACGTCGTTCGGTTCGCCGTCGCCGCCGCCGCGAGGACGGGCTGCGACGGCGACGACGACGACGACCACCAACGACGACGACGACGACCACCACCACCACCACCACCAACACCACGGCAACGACGACGACGTCGACGTCATCTCAATCGCCGTGCTCGCGGTCCCCGCCGCCGGCCGTCGCCGGGCCGTCCTGCGACACGGCCACGATCTGCGAGCGCAGCCAGCGCGGCTGGTACTCGCGGATGTCGCGGCCGTCCAGCAGGATCCGGCCCTCGGCGCGCCCACGAGGGGGACGGGCTTCTGAGGAGGCAGGCGGGAAGGCTTCCCAGAAGGAAGGGGCCTTCTGAGAAGGGCCGGGGAGTCCCAGGGGCCACTCAGAAGCCGTCTTCGAAGCCTGCGGGCGCTTGCTGAGAAGGCCCCCCGTCTTCGGAGAAGCCCTCCCGCCTTCTCAGGACGCCACCCCCCCTCGCGGCATCCGCCTGTGCGGGCCGCCGAAGGGCGTCGTGGTCGGCATCATCGATCGCTGTCGATCGTCCTCGTTCGAGGTTCGAGGTCCGAGGATCTCGGGCACCCGCTGGGCCTCTCGGTGTGCCGCGTCTCGCTGCCAAGGCTGGTCTCCTACCGAGACTCTGCCCGAGGCGCACCCCAGGACAAGACCAAGATAACAGCACGCACCCGATGTCGAGCCAAGGCCTGGCACGGCGACGGCAGAACCGAAAGCCTGCCCCACCGGCAGCGAAACCGGCGTCGACCGAAATCGGCAGGCCGAAAGCCGCTTAGAAGGGCGCAGCGAAGTGGCAACGACACAATAACCGACGGCACTGAACAAACCGAACGGGACCGGCTGCGACGCAACCGAACCGCGAACACCAGTGCGAGCGTGCCTGGAAGGTCCAGGGTGGAGCCCGCCAGTCCGAGGCGAAACCCCACGCCACCATGCGTCGAAACAAGTACACCTTCGAGTGCATTCGAAAAACGCGTGACAACGAGGGCAAGCGCAGAAAACTCAGCGACATAATCGAACAACATGTAAACAAAGGGGATTCAGGGGGTCGTCGTCGACATCGTCGACATCCTCGAGCGCTCCTGCGCGCGAGAGAGCGCAGAGGGGGAGAAGGAGGAGGAGCAGGAGCAGGAGCAGGAGCAGGAAGGGGAGGGAGGGGCGGGAAAGAGGGGGGACGAGCGGAGGAGGAGAAGGGAGGCGAACATGGAGGAGAGAGGGAAGGAGGGAAGGAGGGAGGAGGAATCCTCCCAACCCTTGAGGCCTGGGTGCTCCAGCGAGACAGCCCTCCCAACCTGCAACCTCCCTCCCCGTCGGGCACAGGTGCACGTCTCCCCCTTTACCCGTCCCTGGGCCTGGTCAGGCCCAGTCGCGGGTGGTCCGAGCGTCCACGATGGCCCGACACAACCCAAAATGGCCTGGAAGATCGCACACGATGGCCCAAGATGACTCAATACAGCTTCCAACATTCCGCTACATTCGGCATGACCGTCGCAACCGAGACAGCTCCGAGTGCCCACGGAGACACCCGGGGGCCCCACCCGAGAGGCAAACATCCTGTCACAACCTGAGGGCAATCAATGTGCTCTGCCTGCTCGCCCGTGCGCTTCCTGCGGGCTTCTGAGATCCCGAGATGGCCCCAAGATGGCCCAACAGAGCCCCAAGGAGGCCCCAAGCGGGGCCCAAGACGGCCGCAAGAGCGCCCCAACAGTGCCTCAAGAGGTGACCCTCTGGCTTCCAGGGGGGGGGGGCACAAGCGCCGCCCCCTTCTGAGAACGACCGCCCCCAAGATGGCAGCAAAAGAGCCCCTTCTGAGGGCCCGAAGGCAGCCCAAGAGGGCCCCAAGGGAGCCACAACGGCTTTCGAAATGGCCCCAAGATGGCTCTAAGAGGCTCGAACGCTTCCGACAGTCATCGGCAACCACCGAACACTTCCACCAGACAGCATAACACATACGACAGAAATCATAAAGTACCCATCTTCCTCCTGTTTCCTCGCATTCGCTTTTCGCGGTTCCACCTCCTTCTCCTTATTCCTCCCATGATTATGTCCGTACATTGGCTGTTCAACGATTGCGCGTGGTGTAACCGTGATCGGGGCCTTTCATGGTTTATGGGACTTGCAAGTCGTGATGTGTCGCGTGACCCCACCAGGCCATCCAGAAACGATGCGCAGGGGAGTTGCCTGGAGGAGGGGCGCAGATAAGCATATAGTCAAGCGATGAGGCCCGCAATGGTCAACCTAGAGATCCCGACGGTTTCCCTCCGAGGGGAAGAGAGACGGGAGAACGAAAAAGGAGAGAGATGGGGCAACAAAGGAAGAAGAGAAGGTAAAACAAGCAGAGCGGACGTCGAAAGGCTCCTCCTCCTCCTCCTCCTCCTCCTCCTCATCCTTCGCCTCTTCCTCTCGTCCACCTCCTTCTTGTGAAGGCCTGTGCCCAGTGCCGCCGACCCTGAGAAAAGGAATCGAAAGGGAAACCTCCCCAACAGGACGGGGGGGCCCCGAAAACGGGACAAACCACCGCCAGCTAGAAGCAAGCCCAACCACCTTGTGACAAATTGCAACAGCGTTGGTACTACTTACCACCATTTCAATATGAATCCCAACCAGCCTCCATATGAAAGCCTTACAGGCGACTTAGAGGCGTCGTGCGGAAGTCTGAGAGGCGTCGTACAGGCTTCTTAGAGGCGTCTCCGAAGCGTCGCGCGGGCGTCTTCGAGGCGTCTTGAATGCATCCTCCCGGCATCTTAGGAGCGTCGTGCGGACGTCTTGGAGGCGTCGTACGGGCGTCTTAGAGGCGTCGTGCGAGCGTCTCTGAAAGGCGCCTCCATGAGGCGTCTTAAACGCGTCGTGCGGGCGTCTCTGAGAAGCCTATTCGAAATGCGTCTTGTAGGGCGTCGTGCGGGCGTTTCTGAGAGGCCTCTTTGAGACAAGTCCGATGATGATGGAGGTGGTGGTGATGATAGTGGCGATGATGAGGATGCGGATGAGGAGGGAAATGCTGATTGTGGTGGTGATGGTGGTGATGCTGACGTTCATGAACTCGCGAGCCCTCAAGCACTTCAGTTCTTTTAACCATTCAGACCGAAAAACCTAAAACCGTTTCAGCCCTTGAACATGATTCAGGCACTGAACCCTTAAAAACCTAAACAGTTCACACCGTAAGCGATCAAACCCGTAAGCCCTCATATCCTTAAACCCGCAAGCCCTTGCGCTCTTGAGCCGTTTAAGGCCTTGAACCAACAGTCCTTAATTCTTGAAGCCCTCAACCAAGAGGCGCGCGAGCCCAGGATCATACAATCACGGATGCGGGACACTGGGAGATGGAGGTGGCGCCAACCTGTGGTAGTTTCGGGGAAGCGTGCGAGTGCCACGACACGCTGAGCTATGGCGTGCAAATGTCACTGTGAGCTAGTGGAGTCTCTATGACTCTTCGGGGCCAGAATGCGTCTGAAAATATGTGCCAAATCAAAGCCAATACTTCGTCATTGTTCTGTGTACGTGTGGTTTTTGTGCTGTTTGATGTTCCGTCTGGTCCGTCCGGTGTTGTGTTTTTTTGTGTGTTGTGTTGTGCAATGTGGGAGGGATCTGCCGCGGTCGATCGCCCGGGGGGGTTCGACTGCCGCCCCGACGCGGATCGCCCCCGCCAGGCTCCCTCAAAAGAGGGAGTTTAGGCGGGGATTTGTCCCGCAGGCGTCCCCGCGGGGGGTCCTGGATCGCCCGGGGGGGTCCCAGGACGGGCCGACTCGCCCAGGGGGGGGTCGGTCCGAGCGGCGGAGTCGCCCAGGGGGGTCTCTGCCGCTCAGTTCCTGCACGAGTCGCCCGGGGTGGTCTCGCGCGGGAACAGCTCTCGCGAATCGCCCAGAGGGGTTTCACGGGGGCGAGGTAGCCTGGGGGGCGCCTCAGAGGACAGCGCACGGCGCGAAAGATTCACGCGAATTTTTCGCGGGACTCCCGCGAATTTTTCGCGGGGGGCCAGGACTCTCGCGAATTTTTCGCGGGAGGCGCAGCGGTGTGGACAGTCGCGCAGGGGGGGGGGGAGGGCGAAGAAGAGGGGAGGGGAGGTACGATGCCAAAGCCTCGAGGGCCACCTCCGGGGCCAAGCGAATGACGGACAATTGGAGCAGGGAGCGGCTAAGGATAGAGAAGGGGGGCGAAGGACAAGAGCCAGAGGGGAGCGCGAGCGGCGCACCGAGGAGCAGAAGCGGAGAGAAAGTGAGTTCTCCGGTTGATCACACCAAGATGAGGGCGAGGTTGATGACTAAATTGAGACTCTGTCTGACTTTACACACACACACACACACACACCACGTGGGCCCTTCTGGGGCTCGCTTGGGCTGTCTCAAAGCAACGTTGAGCTTTCCTGGTGCCTTTCTGGTCCACCGTGGGGGGCTCGTGGGGGGCCTGGGGCACGGCCAGAGCGGGGGGGGGCACGGTCGGTCGGTCGGGATCAACAGGCGGCGGGCTATGGGGCGGAGGGGCGGGACAGGGGGCTGGCCGGGGAGAGGGGAGGGGGGCACGGTCGGCCGGCGGGGGCTGCGGGGCGGAAGGGAGAGGCACGGTCGGTCGGTCGGAATGAATGGACGGGGGCCACGGGGCGGCGGGGAGGGGCGCGGTCGGTCGGTCGGTTGGAATAGGCTGACGGGGGCCACGGGGCGGAGGGGCGCGGGGGGGGGCAGAGGGGGCGGGAGGGCACGGTGAGGCAAGGGGGGGGGCACGGTCGGTCGGCGGTCGGGAGAAGGAGACGGGGGCTACGAGGCGGAAGGGGTGGGGCACGGTCGGTCGGTCGGTCGGAAAAAAGCGGACGGGGTCCACGGGGCGGAGGGGTGCGGGTGGGGCAGGCAGAGCACATGGGGGCGGCACGCACCCAGGCCACACCCTAGCACGTATCCCAGCACACGAGGCAAGCACACGTTCCAGCACGCATCCCAGCGGGGGGGGGCAGGGTGACGAGGGCACAGTCGGGCAGGAGGGGGGGCACGCTCGGTCGGCCAGTCGGAATAAGCAGACGGGCGCCACGGAGCGGAGGGGTGCGGGTGGGGCAGGCAGAGCACACGGGGGCGGCAGGCACTCAGGCCTCACCCTCACCCTAACACGTATCCCAACACACGAAGCCAGCACACATCCCAGCAGGTATTCCAGCACACGGAGGCAGCACACAGCCCTGCACACATCCCAACACACGAAGGCACCACACGTCCCGGCACACATCCCGGCACATCTCCCAGTCCAGCGCACATCCCAGGCACGGTCGGCCGACGGTCGAAACAATACAGTGCGAGATCATACCGATAGGTATGACAGTCGGCCCTCAAATCCGTAAGCCCGCAAGCCCGAATACTCTTGGGCCCCTTAAGGCCGTAAACCCTTACGAACCAAAACCCTTTCAAAACTTTAGGTGTTTACGCCACCAAATCCATAAACCCGTGCACACTGAAGCCCGTGAAACCTTTATCCCTTCAACCTTGAGGCGCTAAAGCCCTCAAAACCTTGAGCCCTGAAGCCCTCATACCCGTAAGCTCAGATACTCTTAAACGCTTAAGTCCTTGAACCCTTGCAATCAAATCCCCCGACAAACTTGGTACAAATTCCAACCTGCGCAGTCACGTTAGCTTCTGGAGCAGATGCTTGGACATGGACACGCTGCTCAATTTCGAAATATCCGAGCATCGCCTCACAATCAGAAGTATACGAGAATTCGCGATATGTGGCCGGCTAGAATTCGTGTCCGCTTGTGTTTTCGAGCTGGTTGGAAAATGTGCCAGCTGGTTGGCCTTAGTCCCAGTCGGTTGGAGTTAGCACCACATGCGGGTGCTCCCCCACGGTGCTCCCCCCAGGAAGGGTGCCCCCCCACGGGGGGGGGGGGGGTCACAACCCTTGGAGCCCCGCCCGCCGGGACCACCCCTGGGATCCCCACCTCCCCCCTCCGGGAAAAGGCCCAAATAGGGAGCCCACAAAGCACGTACGCGCCCACCTATGTACATGAACGCGGCCCCATCGATCTGCGAGACTGGCCGCGCGATGCGAACTTTCGGGCGATGCGCACTCTCGAAACCAGCGTGGATTCATGTACGTGTACGTCCTTCTTTCGCTCCTGACCAAAGGAAGGGGCTGCACTCCGACTCGATGAACTACGACGCTGCTCGCCTGCTCTGCCGCGGAGAGCCCACGGACAGGGGCGGCAGGCGAGCGCCCGTTTGCTCCCCGATATCCGGACATCCAAGGCAACGAATACTCCGGCCATCGCTCGGACGTCCACTCCCTGTGCTATTTGTCGGTTTCGCGCGTTGCTGTTGATTCTCCAAACGCTCAAGGGATGCCCCTCGAGGGTCCTCGCCGAAGGAAGAATGCACACGTCCGAGCGATGCCAAGTGCTGGGCGACAAGCTTTTTCCCGAGCGCGGGTGAGGACGCCAAACGATTCGGGGGAAAACCCCGGAGGGGAGGAGACCCCATCCTGCGACGACGAGGCTGCGCGGGCCGTGCACTGCGGCGGCGGCCGGGGCAACGGAAGAGCGGAGGCGCGCACCCACCACCTTGCCGGCCCCGCCGCCCCCCCGGCCGAAAGCCCAGCGGGAAAGGGGGTGTAAAACGCGCTGCTGCCTGACCCAGCTGCATGCGAGGATCCAGCGTGAGCGCAGCGACAAACTCTGCTTCGAACCAGGTATAGCGCACAGCGCTTCGGCCGCCCGCGGCCCGGATCCCCCTGCTGGCAGGACAGAAAGGAGGAGGAGGAGGAGGAGGAGGAGGAGGAGGAGGAGGAGGAGGAGGAGGAGGAAGAGGAGGAGAGCCAGGGAAGGAAAAAAGGAGGAGGAGAAGTCCCGCTAATCTACGCGGGCAAAAAAGTGGGGACCACGTCGCGCTCCCAAAATTCAGCGCGGAGAACATGCCTTGAGGCGCTACACTCTCTAAGTAGTTACGGAGCGCTTGCTTTGAGGCCCCGCCTTGCACAGGCCCCATGCCCAGAATCTCCCGGCGCTCGGTCACTCAGACACCATGATCGGGGCGCCCTGGCCCTCCCCCGCGGCCTCGCTCGCAGAGATGCCCCCATGCACGGAGAAAGCGCCATAGCGCACGAAGGCCACTGCGGCAGCTGCGAGCAGCGCTGCTCCCCCGATCGCTGCCAGGCCGATCGCCGCAACGCTTGCGAGAGACCGTTGCCCTGCCAACGGCAGGCCGTCCATCACAGAGTAGAGCCTGTCGAGGTTATCCGAATCATCCTTGAGGGCGCACTGCTCTTCGCCGCCATTGCAGGCCGGGCACTTCTCGTACAGCTCGCCGAGCACCTGCTCACAAAGCAGGTCCTTCGCTTTTTCTGGGTCATTGGAGTCGGACTCGACGAGCTGACCCTCCTTCCCAGTTCGGGCATCCGCCAGAGACTGCACCCTCTCCGAGAACCATTGGCAGCACGAGTCCACACCTTCGCATGCCGTGGGCACCGGCTTATGGCATACGATCTCGCATGTGGCGCTGGCTCCGGTGTAGGAGAAAAGGATTCCGCACCCCTGACCCGCGGCGGCGGGGGCGGCTGACAAGAGGGCGGCGGCCGCGAGCACCAGGCAGGCCATCGGGATAGGGTTTCGCGCGGACTGAGGCTAGGAGGCCGCTGCTTGTGCAGGCTGCAGCGGGCTGAGCCAAATCGCCTTGAGCCAAAATGGGTGTATCCTTGAGCCAAGTGCTGGGTGACAAGCTGGTGACAAGTGACAAGCTGGTGACCCTCCCCCGTGGGCCCCACGGGCGAACTCGAGTGCGGCGGGCGCCCCCCTCCACGACTCCCGAGCCTCGGGCAACCGACGGGGGACACACTGTCCCGCTGAAGTGGGCACGCGCTTGTTACTCCAGATTTCGTGATAGATAAAAGGGAGGGGGTCTGGACCCTCCAAGACAAGCCATTGTAGACCTCCCCCGTGGGAGAACCCTCCAAAACATCGTCCCCAGACCCCCCAGGCCCTCCAAGATAGCCTGGAAGAGACCCCCCCCCCCGAAATGAGACCCCCCTCCCTTTATTACGAAATCTGGAGTACCCGAAACTCGCTTATACCCGCCGCTTCCTCCCTCCTCTTCTCTGCCTAATTCAAGCTTCGCGCGGCCCGCTTAGCTCCGACCGAAAGAGGTGCGCTCCCGACCCGCGGATCAGAAAAGCGTGTTCCCCGAAGCTCTGCAACATGCGGGCGCGGGGCAGACGGGGACTTCCGCTGCCTGAGGACCCCGGTTTGTCCCAGAATTGTTAGCCATCCGCATCGCCCATGTGGAGACAAACGAATAAGCACCGATGCCAAGATTCCCAGGACCTCAGAGGGGCGGAAGAAGCCGTGGCGACACGGGGCCACAGGATTGCCAAAAAAGCCGGCGCTTTCGAGGGGGTGGCATCATCATCCTTCGAGTGAGCTCCTGGAATTTGTTTGAAATCACGAGCAACGGATAGCAAACCCGATTCAGGAGGCACTAAGCTGGACTAAGCCAAATTAAATGGGAGCTGGCCCGGAGAAGCCTGTTTCCGACCACGGATATACCAGCCAGCGCCGATGCTGAGTAGAGCCTTCCATAAATTGCCTGCAAATATGTATCGGTATACGTAGCACCCCGCAACCGCGGATATGGGCCCGCCGCAGACGCTTACTTTTTTCTTATATAAGTTATACAACAAGCCCGCCGCAGGAGCCGACATTTTCGTGAGAGCAATGTGGGTGGTCGCGGGACGGTCGCGGCAAGACCGCGGATGGGTCGCGGGTCGGTCGCGGGCCCGGTCCCGGGTGAATCGCGGGTGGTTCGCGGGCCCGGTCGCGGATGGGTCCCGGGGTGGTCGCGGGGTGGGTCGCGGATGGGTCGCTGGTGGGTCGCGGGGTCGGTCGCGGGTGGATGCGGGGCGGGTCGCGGGTGGGTCGCGGGTCGGGTCGCGGGTGGGACGACGACAACAAACAACGCACCCACAGAAACACCGACAATTGCAATAATAACTATCGTTTCAAAACTGTTCGCTCTTATCTGTTTGAATGGCACTCAACACGTATATCCCGAACCCTCGATACCCGCCCTCTTCGTCTTCGATCGTCCCCTTAGGTGTGTATCTTTCTTACCTGCAACGTAGATTTCGCGATAAACGCGCCAGAAGGACGTGGAAAGGCCTGTCGAAGGAGCTTGGAAGCTCCTGGAAAGAGTTTCCAAACGACTTATTGGAGATCTTCCGGGTAGGCGTATTGGGAAACGCTCAGAAGAAAAACTTGTCAGAACACGCGGCGAGATCAACCAAGGCGCGCCGAAGCTTCCTGCCGGACGCCAGAACGAGATCCAGGACCACCCTGCGGCTCCAGCTTCTTAATCTGAAACCCTCTTGGTTCCAAGAGAGCTAAGAGCCATCCAGGAGTGGAGGACGGATGGAAGGGAGGGGCAAGGAGGACGGAAGATGGAACTCGAGAGACACTAGCAAAAAGGGGGCTGGGAGCAGAAAGAACACATGACAGAACCTGACGGGCAAATCGGGAGGGTAGACCCGAACGGGCGGGTCGGGAATGCGGGCCCAGGCGGCCAAACCGAGCAGGCGGGTTGCTGAAACGTGCGTCCTGCACGAAGTCGGAACGACGTCTCAAACGATAGCGTGATTCCCAAGTGAATCATGAAGCAGTTCACTACGAGAGCGTGATTCCTGAGTGTCGAGGTCGCGGCGTCTGCATAAGATGCGATGGAAATCACACGCGAGAGCGCGAATGTTACAAACCTTGTGAAACGCGGGAACACTATTTTGAAATGATTTGGGCGGAAACGTCAGGCGGGAGCCGGTGCTGCTATGAACCGGGGGCCAGCAATTCAGTTCCGTGAGACCTCCCATTTTTTTGTTTTTTTATATATATATATATATATATATATATATATATATATATAAAAAAAAAAAAAAAAAAAAAAAAAAAAAAAAAAAAAAAAAAAAAAAAAAAAAAAAAGGAAATGCAAGCGGTAGGAAGAGCAACAATAATTGAAAACAGTCACCAAACAAAACATTTAAAATAACATGAAAATTCGAAAACACAACCAGCAGCAACAACACGACGGCAACAACAACAGAGACATTTTAAGCACGCATAATTACCTGCTCGCTTGCCTCGCAACGCGTATAAATCAAACCCTCGATGCCCGCCCTTTTCCGTGTTCGATCGTATCCCCTGAGGGGTATTTCTTTCTTCCTTGCAACGCGTATGTCGCGAAACCCCTTATGGGGGGAGAGGACGGATGGGGGACAAAGGGCAGGCGGGTTGTCGAAGCGTGCGGATTGCATAAATCGCGAGGAACGAGAGCACGCGTCCCAAATAAATCGCGTGGAACTCAACGACCAGAGTGTATTTCCTGAGTGTCGAAGGCGCGGCGTCGGAATACATTCCGAGGAAGTCCCACGCGAAAGCGCGTTTCAAAAATCGATAGTGCGGATGGCCGCGGCGGGAACGCGATGTTCCAACAAATTGTGAGGACGTATCAAACGGGAGCCGCTGTCGTTGTAGTTCTGGGCCCAAGCCCGCCTTGTAAAAAACAGGGTGCGAGCCCCGGGAGGACCACTTCACTTGGAATATACAAACAGGTCACCAGAGGGAGGACCAACAAAAAAATCGTTCGCAACGAAA